TTTTACTGCATGGCTTGTCTTTGTGTCACCAACATTACTGCAGTTCGTTTAGAGAATAGGGTGCTGGGCCAATTATACTGTACCCTCCCCAATTAGCAGAGGTGGTCAGGTCACGAGACAGAGGCAATGGCTTACACTTAGAAACACCCAGAGCACAACAATGGAGAGCAAGCGCCTACCAAGAAGTCTTGCCAACTTCACTGACCCCCAGCTCTCCAAAACATATAAAAACCAGAAAAACCATAATAGAAGCATGAGAAGACAAGGTAACAAAATGCCTCCCCGAAAGCTGATGAATGAGGCATCTAGCAGGAGAAAAATCAACAGTAAACAACTGAATTATACAAAGTGATATGAAGAAACATAGAACAGGTTGAGAAGGCATCTGAGGACCTCAAAATTCATATAATGAAGCAGACAATGGACTAAATAAACAAAATGACCAGTGAATTATAGAAGACACTAATAAAAATCTACCTAAGGTAATCAATACAAAACATAAATGACCAGTTTAGCAGAGAATTGAGTCCATGAAAAGGTACCAAACAGAAGTTGAGGAGATAAAAAAATTCTTCTGGTTCTATAAGAATCTAAGATTGTTTTTTCCAGTTCTTTGAGGAATGCTGACTGTTTTTGTATTAGGAGATGGCCACCAATTATGAAACAGTTTTGCAACTTTCTGAACAGATCTCCAATGGCACAAGAAATAATACCAAGAATCTACAAATGGTATTTTATAAAAATAAAAGCTTCAGCACAGCAAAGGAAACAAATAAGAGTAGACAACCTACAGAATGGAGAAAAATTGTTAGCTATCCCACAGATAGATGACTAACATCAGAAATATATAAAGGGCTGGGGAAGATAGCTCAGCGGTATAAATGCCTGCCTGCCAAACATAAGGTCCTGAGTTTGATCACCAGTACCACATGCTGTGCCAGCACTAGAACTGGGAATGGTGGTGCATGCCTGTAATCCTAGCAACAGAGAGGCTGAGACAGGATGATCACTACTGGTTCGAACGGTTTAGTGAGAGCCTGTATCAAAACAAAAACAACAATAACAAATATAAAAAACCCAACAAAATTAGATCCTCCCAAATAAACGACCCAATCAAAAACTGGGCAATCAAAATGAACAAATACTTCTCAGAAGAATTACAAATGGCCAATAAATACATAAAAAAATGTTCACCATCGTGGGCAACCAGGTAAATGCAAATCAAAACTACAGAGATGCCAGCTTACCCCAGAAATAAGGACTATCATCAAAAACTCTAATACTGCAATAACAAATGCTGGTGAGGACATGGAAGGAAAGGAATTCTTTGGTGGGAATGAAAGTCCCTACAGAAACCAGTATTAAGATTCCTCAAAAGACTGAAAGTAGATATTCCATTTGATCTAGTTATATACCTTTTATGTATCTTCCCAAAAGGGTTAAAATCAGCATATTACAGGGATATATGCAAATCTATGTCTATAGCAGAACAACTTCTAATACCAAGGTCTTGGAAACAGTCTGTATAGCCATCAACAGCTGAATGGATAAGGAAAATGTTTTATTTATATATAATGGAGTCCTATGCTGCCATAAACATAAATGGGACATTTGTAGACAAATGGATGCATCTTGAGAACATATGCTACTGAAATAAGACACATAAGCTTGTTTCTCTTATATGAGAAAATATATATAAATAGCACAGTAAGAGAAACAGGAAGCAGAGAGAAGTTCAAATATTTCGCCATTACACATTCCCTCGTTTTATATTTGTTTCATACTAATTGTTTCTTAGTTCACTGAAAAGAAAGTTTGTGTTATTGTGCTTTTTTGTAAAGAATCTTTTTAGTTTATGTCTGGTACCAAGTAACTACTTTAAATATGGTACACAGTGTAATAACTACTGTTATTCTCATTATTTGGTTATTAAAATTTTTATTTTTCTCATAATTTAAAAAAAATTTAAAACAATCAACAAATGCTGAAAAGGTTGTGGGAATAAAAAAAACAACAACAAACTCTTGCATACTGTTGTTGGGAATGTAAACTAGTATAACTGCTATGGAAATTTAGTATAGAAAGGCCTCAAAAAACTAAAAATAGTTTTATTCAACCCAGCTATTTTCCTTCTAAATATTTCCCTAAGAAAGTCAAAGACATTACATTATACTTTCATCTGTATATAAATGCATACCCACGTTTATAGGAGTACCACTTATAATAGCTAAAGACTGGAAGCTACCTTTAGGTCCATCAGCCACTGAATGAATTAAAAAGTACTTATATACAATACAGTGGTACTCTACCATAAGGAAACATAAACCTGAGTCACTTGTAGCTCGCCACAATGAAGATAATCATTATGCATTGTAAATATACATCAATAAAAATTCTGCAGAAAGATATACAATAACAGTAAAAATTATTGCTCATAAATTCATTCATAATAGTACATGAAGATTCAGTCTTATTTTTATTCTTATTCCTGTAACTTCTAAAAAAGTGAAGTTGTATTTATTTTGGATCTTTTTCACCAAGAAATCACCAGAAATGAAGGATGCTCCTGTCCCCAAAGTTAAAGTTTTGAAGGCCAAGAAAACAAGACAGTCAGAGGGAAGAAGCAAAAAAACAAAAACCCACCGAAGATCCACATGTCACCTATATTTCCAGCAGCACAGACACTGCAGCAACAGAGGAAGCCCAAATATTCCCAGACAGCACCCCCAGGGCAAACAAATCTAACCACTATACCACTAAGTTCTCCAATGACTGAGTCTGCCACGAAAGACAACATATAACAAGTCCCAGACCAAACAGGTTGTGAAGAAACTCCACAACACGGGTATGGCCAAGGTCAATACCCTGCTCAGACCTGTTTGGAAGGTTGCCTATTTCCAACTGGCTCCATGACACTTTGGTTGTTGCAACAATACTAAGACCATTTAACTGAATCTACCTGGCTAATTCTAAATGTTTTTCCATAAAAAAATCGGTACCAATTTTTGTACTTTCCTAGGATTACAGAAATTATATGCAACACAAAACAAGTAATTTTTTGGACCAATTGAGGAGACAGGATGTGAGTTACTGCCTAATTTTGGGGTGGGATAAATGGCTGTTTCTCCCAAGAGGATTAAAACCTGAGTAGTCAATTATTTATCTTACAAAGTTAATACCTTAAAAGCTGTTATCTTTTATAACCTAATTTTCCCCCAGAATTTTAACATTTGGCCAGTGTTAGAAAAGATTTTGTCTCATTTATTATACACTGACCTATTCTCTCAATATTACTGTAAACTTATACCTACCATTGTAATTTATCATGATAGGAAGGGCCATTTAAAGATTTTAACAAATGTAGGATCTAGTCAGTACAGGAAATTTTCCCAAAATGAATACCATATATTTGTAATCTTCGGACATATCAGACCTCACTTTCTACATGTCTTCTGTGTGTCACTGCTCATACTGCAGAGGTGGTCCTTCCCTTCTGTAGTACAATTCTTACCTTTTTAAGTACTACTTGACTTACTCATGGTTCTGTTTTGTCTCTATTTATACAATGATAAACAAAAATATCCTGTGCTTTACATATATACATATCTTTAGCTCATTTATTGAAATGAGCTTTTGTGTACCTTAAACATTTGTTGAGTATTATCATAAACACATGACATTTTCACAAACTTACTTCCAGGAACTAAAACTTATTCTTCCACCTACTTAATGTGTCACAGCCTGGTCAGTAAAAATAACAATGAGCTAGGTAGGCCTTTGTTCTGTCAGCCCTGCCCTTGACATTATGAAAAAGTTCTTGCTTTTCAGAAATGAATGATGGTTCAGATTTATCCTGATATCTTGATTCTACAAATAGATTAGCTATCCTTTAAAGATCCCTGGTTTATTTAGCTCCAAAAGCCATACACGTACGTCGCTCATAGTACATGCAGTAAGTACTTGTTAAAACATGAACAAGCCAGGTATGGTGGGACATGCCTATAACCCCAACACTCAGAAGGCTGCAGCAGGAGGACTGCTGTGAGTTCAAAGCCAGTCTAAACTACATAGTGAGATACTGTCTCAAAAAATAATGTTTTAAAGCCCAAAACCTAGGCATTACGAATGTGTATGAGAACGGTAATGGACAAAAGTATTAACTCATCAGGGCCAGTCCTATAAGCACCTGCCTGGCAAGCACAAGGTCCTAAGTCCAATCTCTGGTACCGCAAAAAAAAAAAAAAAAAAAAAAAAAAAAAAAAAAAAAAAGGGTTAATTCAAAGCAAAAACAGAGCTTTTCAAATTTATCTTCATCAATTTTTTAACACATACTGGTACCTTTCCAGTGACTACTATAACTATTTACTATACTGTGATACAAAAACTCATTCTGCAGGAGTCACGAGAGGATGTCTCAAAAAAAAAGGCAGTGATTCTCTAATAAAACTGAAACAGGAGGATTGCTGCAGATTCAAAACCAGCCTGGTCTACAAAGTGAGCTCACAGCCTGCCTGAACTGCATAGCAAGATACTTCCTAAAAGAATAAAAACCAGACAAACAAAACAACCTAAAACAAGGGTAAAACTGCCTTGTGGCAAGTCAAGAAAACTATTACATACATCTTAATGTTATAAGCAGAGAAAACACTTGTTTCAAACTTAGGCCCCAAAGTCGCAAAGGAAAATAGCAGATATTTGGAGTAGCAGCTACTGATTGTAACTAACCTATTTCTCCCATGGGCAACTCCATGTAGCACAATCCACGGTCAAAAGGGACACTGATTTCATATTTTAAATAAATGTACAGTGGCCCAGCCTACTTAATAAACAAATAACTGATCTTCTATTTTATTAAAAAACAAATTATCTTTTTTCTTTTTTTGATAGAACTAGGTAGGGATTGAACTCAGGCCCCTGTGCTTGCCAGGCAAGTGCTTATTCCACTGAGCCATCTCCTAGGCCCCAAATTTTCTTTATATACCTCTCCCATGCATACTTACCTCCAGCATTTTGCTGGTCCAATGAAAGTCCAGCCTGAGGAAATGACACAGTGAACAGTGCATCCTTTTCTCTAGTCCTAAAAATAATCAAAATAATTAATAAAAATAAACTGTTAAGTAGAAAGAAAAACTC